TGCCACGTCAGCAGCAGTGCTGCAAACGAACAAACGCGCGGGCGTTGCACAGAAGGGCTGGTTGATCGCATGAGAGTAATATGGGTAATTTTGACGCACATACACCGCCAAACGCCGCGTCAGCGGCCGGCGCGAGACCGCAGCCACACCGCAAAGGGTCACCCCTCCCCGACCACGGTACGGAGAGAGTTACGAGCATGAATTATAAAACGGCACATCATCTTACTTCATATTTAGACACTGATGCGCTCCGGGATCTCTCGCGCGCGGGCTCTCGGTCTCCCGGGCCATCCCGGAGGCCGCGCCTGAAACGGATCGGGGCAAAGTGCAGGGCTGCTCTTCCTAATCGAAAAGCACCCGGGGATCAAGGAGCTCGCGCGGCGCGCGCGCGCCGCGGTGCTGACGGAGATGCGCCCGCTGCCGTCACGTGCGCGGGCCTCGCGCAGATCGGGTATGTGGGATGCGCAGGGGCGGCGGCCCCACACATTTCCACGGGCCCGGCTCTTATGCCCTGACTGAACCCTTTTCATTCTAGGTCCCACCATAGGAACTGTGGCTTGAACAATTTTTTTCCCCGGTCCTTCACCAGCTGCCTGATCAAGCAAGCCGCTGCTTCCAATTCCCAACCACCACAGCGCGCTGTCTCATCACTGTTGGTGGTGTTGTTGATTTGATGATGCTTGTGGAACACGGTGTGGCACCTGCTGATAACAAGCGCATTCGGCACACAGAAGTCACACTCTCACAGCAGGACACAGGGGGATGGCTCGTGAGTGGTCTGGTGCTGCCCCTCTGTGGGTGGATGGCTGCCGCGACCTAGTAAGGACGCAGTGTGCTGCGATGAAACAGAAACATGTACGTGACAACTGCTATTGCTTTTATCGTCATTACTGCCGTGGCAGAATTGTGTGATTGCAGGCGTCAGCTGCCGTCCAGCAGCATCGTTAAGTACATGCCGAAAAGGGGTTTTGAATGCGGCGTGCGCACTCAGTGCCACTGTTGGCGTACTATCTAACTATCAGTGTATGATACAAATTTACACATGTGCGTCTTTCATGGGCACACCGATCATCGCCAGCCAGCGAGAAGCGAGTCGGCTCCGGCACGCGGGCATCACAGCATCTTGCTCGAGTTGCAATCATCATTACAACCAAACATTACACTATTTGAAGGTCATCTGTTTGCTAAATTCTTCGAGCAAGCAGATTACCGGAGCGCAGCCTGCAGTGGCTAATCGTGTGCGATGGACGCCCCCGCGGGCCGTGCGTAGCACCATCGCCCAGTCACCAAGAGCATTGAAATATATAGATATAGCTATGGAGACTGTCCAGGAGGAGCTGCCTTGCCTGCCGCAGGATGTGCTTCAGGTGCTGTCGGCTCCCGCGGGAGTCGGGGCACCCAGGACCTGAGTGAAGCGGCGCATCGCGCATAAATCAACGTCTTATGTCCTAACATCGGGGTGTTAGCTGTGTTCCTTCACGCGATCTCGCCCTGACCCACCTCGGCTCGGCCCGCCCCATCAACCATGCTTGCCCGCTTTGCAGCATGTCCTGTCGCACTGTGTGGACGTGCGCACCGTTTCTACGGCTCGGCTGGTGTCCAAGGCCTGGCACAGCGCCGTGAGCGGCGCCGCCGCCGCGGTGGAGTGCTCCCTGCCCGGCAACGACAGTCCTGCGCACAAGCTCCAGCGCCTGCACACGGTTGCGCCGTGCCTGACGCAGCTGCGCCTCAATATCGGGCCCGGCGCCGGCAGCGAGCTGCTGGTGGACGCGCTGGCCAACGTGGCCTGCTTTGTGTTTGTCAGGTGAGAACTTGGCCAAGCGGCTTGCGGCGCGGTACGGCGTCACCCCACCGCCCTAGGCGCAGCATGCAGCAGTGGTCTCGCGCGGCGCTCTCACCTCCTGAGCCTGCCTGTGGGGCGGCAGCGGCGGATATGAAGGAGGCAGAGGTGTGTTCGTTGCCGCCCCCGGATTCTGACTCTCCTGCATGCACGCGCCCTCAACTCGTGCCCTCACCGCTCCGACACCGACCCCCAAACGCAGCTCCCTGGAGCTCCACTTCAGCGAAGTCCTGGAGCTGTCCGACGCTGACGTCACCGCCCTCGCCTCTCTCGGCCGCCTGACCGGCCTGCACCTGGTCAACGTGTCGGTCCCCTCCGGCCTCGACCTGCGCCCGCTCGCCGCGGGCCTGCCCAAGCTGCGCGCGCTGCGGCTCGTGCAGAACTCGAAGGTGGCGCCCCTGCTGTATGGGGATGACGCTCTGGCCGCGATCGGGGAGATGAAGTCGATTGAGGAGCTGGACCTGCGGGGCCGCATGTGCGGCGTCGGCGACGCGGGGCTGCTCGCGCTGCGCGGGCTGACGCGGCTGCGGGCGCTCGCGGTCGGCTGGGTGCCGTGGCAGAGCCAGGTGTCGCAGGTGAGGGGCGGGGCACGGATGGGGGCGCGGGCGGGGGGCCGCTTTGCTGCCTGAGCAGGGAGGGCGGAGGGGCAGCGGCTGCACTGGGCCTGGGGAAGATTGCAGCGACTGCCGCTGCAGCTCACCGGTTGCATCATCAAGCTGTAAGGATTGCATATCCCCGCTTGGCCTTTGGAGCTACTTGACTGGTTTAGCAAAGCCCACGCGTCCTCCCTTCTCTCCACAAGCATGCACCTTGCACGCATTGCGTTCTGCACCTCACCCCATCCCCTTCCACCCTGTCCACCCCCTCAGAACGCCGCGCTGCAGCTGCTGTCGGGCCTGCCCCTCCTGCGCAGCCTCAAGCTCAGCGGCGCGGAGCTGCTGCTACCAGCCGCCCTCTCAAACGGCGCGATGGCAGGCCCCGGCGCCCCAGGCGGGGTGCCCGCCGGCGCCGGCGCCGCGCCGCCGCAGCCGCCGCAGTTTGGCGCCGCAGCAGAAGCCGCGTTCCTGGCGCCGCTGCTCCCCCCTGCGCCGGCGCCCGGGGGCGCGGCCGCCGAGCCGGCGGCGGCGGACGACGCCGAGGAGGAG